CATCGAATACACTCACCAGAACTTGGTGAGTAAAGGACCTTTAAGGAATTTTTAGGGATCCTAAACCCTCTTTGGTGCCACGCTAGGGAAAATCTTCACCCTCCGAATAGACTCCACCATCCAACCAAAAGAAAAAAACTCACATAGCATAATATTGTCACACAATAGTAACTTTTTCCAAATGGAGATTAAGGCCACTCGCATGTTAAACACTTGCTAAAGACATGTTTATTATGTATAAAAGGCTTCAGTTCCAGCAGATATACAAACTTTTCCTTCCAGGACTCTCACATCCACAGTGGAACAAAGACAGGACTCCTCTTAGACCAAACAGTGAACCAAGATGGCCGCTGGAACGCACCGCTCAGCGTGCGCTCCACTCACCGGAAATGACGTCAGGCGCATGAAGTGTGGACCGGAAATGCATTTCCGGTCCACACTTCATGCGCCTGACGTCATTTCCGGTGAGTGGAGCGCACGCTGAGCGGTGCGTTCCAGCGGCCATCTTGGTTCACTGTTTGGTCTAAGAGGAGTCCTGTCTTTGTTCCACTGTGGATGTGAGAGTCCTGGAAGGAAAAGTTTGTATATCTGCTGGAACTGAAGCCTTTTATACATAATAAACATGTCTTTAGCAAGTGTTTAACATGCGAGTGGCCTTAATCTCCATTTGGAAAAAGTTACTATTGTGTGACAATATTATGCTATGTGAGTTTTTTTTTCTTTTGGTTGGATAGTGGAGTCTATTCGGAGGGTGAAGATTTTCCCTAGCGTGGCACCAAAGAGGGTTTAGGATCCCTAAAAATTCCTTAAAGGTCCTTTACTCACCAAGTTCTGGTGAGTGTATTCGATGTTGGTTTGTGCACTGGTGGAAGGTGAAAGTATTTTCTGAAGAAAAGAAGTTGGCACTTTTATTTCTACAATTTAATTATGTTTTCAGCACATGGACTTTTGGGTGTTTTTGTTTAAGATTAAGGGCAAACACGAATAATTTATGCACCTATTTTATATGATTTATTATATTGATTAATTATCTAAATTTGCCGCTGTTTATTTATATTTATATTGTTTGTGTTTTCACGATTGGCACAGCAGCATTTTTAGAGTGTTATTTGGAAAGTCTTGGCGCAGGAATAAGTTTTCTTGTATAAACAAAAGAAGTTTTTATTACCTTAATGTATTCTTTGCATTAAGGTAAAAAAAACCTTCTGAGTGCAACTCCCCCGCCCCATCCAAACACCCCCCCCCCAGTAGCCTGATGTCCAACCAGCCCTGTGCATGAGAGCAGCAGCTTTCTCTGCTCTCTTCCTCCTGTTAGGCTCGGAGACAACAGCTGGAGCCATTGGCCAGGAGCACCATCAGGGGATCCAAGAAGAAGTTCGGGCCTGCTCTGTGCAAAACCATTGCACAGAGCAGGCAAGTATACCATTTTGTTTGTTTTTTTTTAACTGCTTCCCACCCGCTTGCCTGCAATGTGCTGCGGCCTGGCGGCAGCTACAAACAAAGCGTCGTACCTGTACGTCACTCTGACTGTACTAACACGGGGCACTGCGCACTCCCCCCCACGCCTGCTGTGTCTGGCGGACACAGCGGAATGAAGATCCCGGTGAACAGGGCCTGGTGATCATGTGATCACTATGTGATCAATCTCATTCATAACCGCTCTGCTTTTCTTCCAAGACAGCTGTGATTGGCCCACAGCTGTCACATGATACATGGGGCAAATCACAGCACCCTGCACCATGTGACCAGCTCCAGCCAATCATAGATCACTATCTTGCGCTGTCAAAAATGTAACTTATTCATGACAGTTCATGAATGAGTTAGGTTCATGACAGCAAGCTTTGCATTGCAGGAGACTTTATCTTTATTTCTCCTGCAAAGCAAAGTGTAAAAAAAAAAACCAAATCTCTGATCACCCCCCCCCCCCATAGTACAATGTTACTATGATAACATTGTACTATTCTGCTAAATGTATTTAAACAAAATGTTAAAAAATAAAATAAAATATACCATATTGAGAATTTTTTTAAAAACATTTTTAAGAGTTTTTTTAACTACTTGCCAATCGCTTACCCGCATTTTGCGGGCAAGCAGAAGCTCTTGGCAAAGCAACGTAATTTTGCTTCGCTTCTTGTTTTGGGGTGTGAACGCGCCTGCGCCCCCCACTGCCCCTCCTTCCCGGTCCATCCATGGAGAAAAAAGAGAACACGGCACAGAGTAAAAGCACTACATTTTACACACACGTTAGATTAGCACATTTAACCCGTTGATCGCCCCTATTAACCCTTTGATCGCCCCGTCACCCAGCCAGTTCCATTAGTACAGTGTCAGTATATAAACTTTTTCACTGATTACTGCATTCCTGCCACTAGTGACATCAGATAGCGACATGGTCAGTATGCGCCCCACCCAGCCAGGGTCAGCTAGCGTTAGATTGCCTTACACTATCGCACTCGCACTAAAGGTCGCTGATCACCCCCATTACTAGTATAGTGTTTGTACAGATCAATATAATGATCTTAAACAGAACTATACTAGTATCTCCTTTGTATAGTGTCCCCAAAAACACAGTGTTAGCAGGAATAGCCCCGTTCATTGCCAGCACTAGCGTTTAGCCCCTCCACTGTTCTTCATGGAAAATTTGTATCAATTGATTGTGGGACAAGGCAATTTATACACACAACAATACATATTCAGCTCTTGCCAGAGAATTCAGATGGAAACCTGCAGTGAAGGAAATAAGTATTTGATCCCCTGCTGATTTTGAATGCTCACTCACAAAGAAATGATCAGTCTAAAAATCAAATGGTAGGTGAATTGTAACACTGAGAGACAGAATAGCAACAAAAAATTCAAAAGAAATGCATGTGTAACAAATGATGCACTGATTTGCATGTTCATGAGGGAAATAAGTATTTGATCCTCTTCACAAAACATGACTTAGTACTTGGTGGCAAATCCCTTGTTGGCAATCACAGAGGTCAGAAGTTTCCTGTAGTTGGCCACCAGGTTTGCACACATCTCAGGAGGGATTTTGGCCCACTCCTCTTGGCAGATCCTCTCCAAGTCATTAAGGTTTGGTGGCTGACGTTTGGCAACTTGAACTTTCAAGTCCCTCCACAGATTTTCAATTGGATTAAGGTCTGGAGACTGGCTAGGCCACTCCAAGACCTTAATGTGCTTCTTCTTGAGCCACTCCTTTGTTGCCTTGGCCGTGTGTTTTGGGTTATTGTCATGCTGGAATACCCATCCATGACCCATTTTCAATGCCCTGGCTGAGGGAAGAAGGTTCTCACCCAAGATTTGACGGTACATTGCCCTGTCCATCGTCCCTTTGATGTGGTGCAGTTGTCCTGTTCTTAGAAGAAAAACACCCCCAAAGCAGAATGTTTCCACCACCATGTTTGACAGTTGGTATGGTGGTCTTGGGGTCATAGGCAGCATTCCTCCTCTTCCAAACATAGCGAGTTGAGTTGATGCCAAAGAGATCGATTTTGGTCCCATCTGACCACAACACTTTCAACCAGTCCTCCTCTGCATCATTCAGATGTTCAGTGGCAAACTCCAGACGGGCCTGGACATGTGCTTTCTTGAGCAGAGGGACCTTATGGGCACTACAGGATTTCAATCCTTGTCAGCGTAGTATGTTACCAATTGTTTTCTTGGTGACTGTGGTCCCAGCTACTTGGAGATCATTGACCTGGATATAAACAGCGCCATTTGTAAATTGGGAAAGCATCTGATCATGCCAATCTTGGTATGATCAGATGATGTAAGGGCAGAGGAGATATCTAGAGTCTAATAAACCCCAGATTGCTCAAAAAAAGAATACCTGTCAATGCCTATTGCAGTCAGAGGGGATATTTACATTCCTTGTGATAGCAATAAAAGTGATAAAAAAAAAAAAAGAGGTTAAAAATAATTAAAAAAATAAAAATAGCTAAAAAAAAAAAGCACCCTTGACCCCCTGCGCGTGTGAACCTGCTTACACAAGCGTTTACCTCGTGCCGGGATGTAACAGCGGTCGCACCATGCATGTGATGTATCGCCGCAAATGTCAGATCGCAAAAAATATAATGTTCCATGGACTCAACATGCCTCTCTGCAAAATCCTTGCGGTGTCTACTTTCCAAAAAGCATTTTAGCACCTCAAGAAATGTGCTAGGCAGTCGGAAAGTAAAAGATCTGTAAAATCCAATATGTATACCATAGTTTGTAGATGCTATAACTTTCACACAAACCAATTAATACTCATGTCTTGAGATTTTTTTTTTCTTTCTTCTTACCAAAGACATGTAGCAGAATACTTTTTATCCTAAATTTATGACTAACTTTGAATTTATTGGATATTTTTTTATAACCAAAAGTGAAAAATATAATTTTTTTTCAAAATTTTCGGTCTTGTTTTGTTTATAGCGCAAACAATAAAAACCGCAGAGGTGATCAAATACCACCAAAAGAAAGCTCTATTTGTGTGAAAAAAAGGACATAAATTTTGTTTGGGAACAGCATTGCACGACCGCGCAATTACCAGTTGAAATAGCGCAGTGAACAGAAAAAAATAGCCTGGTCATGAAGGGGGGGGGGGGGGGGGGGGGGGGGGGGGGGTAAATCCTCTGGAGGGCAAATGGTTAAAGAAAAAATGATGTTTACATTTATTTTAAATTACAGTATGGCTTGTGTAGCAAATTTTATATGCTCTATTAAGTTTTTTTATTTGTGATATTTTTTTTCACAAAGGTTGAGTTGCCCTTTAAGCATTCTAATCATTGCTTATGACAGCACAAAAAAAAAAAAAAACAATAAATAAAGTTCCCTCTTACATCAAAACATCCTAACATGAGTCAAACTCCTAAATCTTCTTTCCAGTAAATTATTTCATAACATGCATATATTTATATTAAAGTGTATTACTTTATATTGTTATTTTCAGCTCTCATTAAATGTTCACAATGAAAATTAAATACTGCAGAATATGATTGGATGCTTTTAGTTTGGAGATGCCAAGAAAAAGAAGGAGTTTGTCCCTAAGTCCTCAAAAGAAAACCTCAAACCCCAGCATCCCTGTGGACTTTTCATCTTCTGCTACACTGCCCCTTCCACCAGCAATGAGCGGTAACAAGAAGGAGGTGGTCAGCAGTATGTGTGAGATGTTCCCCAACCTGGAACCTTCCTTGATAGAAATGGTGCTCTCTGAATATACTGAAGGTGAGTTTTATATCCTGTATACATGTTGTGATATTTTGTGGAATTTAACCCAGTAGTAGTATTAGAAGTATTTTTAATGAGTCCATGCCAGCCTGATCTGTGTTTTAGGGCTTGTCAGCCAACTTTTCTTAAACAAAATCAAAGTTCAACAGAAAAGCAGTTGCCCACGAAGGGGTTTTCACCACCAAAACAGGAAGGCTCCATGCACACTGGGCGTTTTAATAATGCTGGTAACGTTAGCCGTGTAAAGTCACGTTAAAAACATGCTTTTTTAGTGTTTTTGCATTAATGTTTAGCAGTGTTTGTGTTTTTTTTTGCATTTTTATTGTACCAAAGAAAATACATTTTTTTTTGGTCAAAAACACTTCCAAAAACTCCGGTTTGACTCGTTTTTCAGCATAAGACCGTTTTTACAGCTAAAAAAAAACTCCTCTAGAAACACGCTAGTCCTTGTTTTTTTCCAGCCAAAAAACGTTGCTTAAAGTCTACGTGTGCATGAACACATAGGATAACATTCTGGGGGGTTTACTAGCTGTAGAAAAAAAACGTCAAAAGCCAAAACCAGCAGCTGTAAAAACGTCCAGTGTGCATGAGAACAAAATGTGAAAATAATACCAAGTCCCCTGTCTTCCTTTCTTCAGCACTGCTGCTTAGGCCTTAAACCCTGGCTTTTGGCTGGTGCCTCAGACTTTCGCACACAGTACCTCTTTGTTCCTGTGCCCGTGCCAGCTCTCCTGGCTCTTTCAGTCTTCTTAGTCACAGTCACTTCGCGACCTCTCTGTCCTCCATACTCGCTTGGCTGTCTCGAGCCTCTCAGCCCTCTGGACAAGGAACCTCCTGTCTCCAGCATGGAGTACTGTCTCCTGAGCAGAACACACCTGTCTCCTAACACAAGACTGTAATTTTAATAGGTGTGCACACCTGCACACTCAACTTGCTGGTCTTCTGGAAGACCTGGACACTATGTTGGAGACTTCTATCCCAAAAACTCTTCAAAGTCTCCAAAATCTGGAACCTAATATGGGAATGATCTACACTTGGAGGAAACCAAAAGTCCATTTTTTCCTGCTCTAAGTCAATATTCCGCAGCCTTGCACTCATTTGTGCGAACTCTGTGCCCCTTTTTCCTACTTTTACACAACGTCGGGTCTTCGCACTGTCGCATTGTGTCCTTTTTTATGTGTGCAGGTTAAAAGTAGTAGGTGATACAGTCAGGTCCATAAATATTGGGACATCGACACAATTCTAACATTTTTGGCTTTATACACCACCACAATGGATATGAAATCTGAGGGTATTTACATCCAAATCAGGTGAACGGTGCAGGAATTACAACAGTTTGCATATGTGCCTCCCACTTGTTAAGGGACCAAAAGTAATGGGACAATTGGCTTCTCAGCTGTTCCATTGCCAGGTGTGTGTTATTCCCTCATTATCCCAATTACAATGAGCAGATAAAAGGTCCAGAGTTCATTTCAATTGTTGTATTTGCATTTGGAATCTGTTGCTGTCAACTCTCAAGATGAGATCCAAAGTGCTGACACTATCAGTGAAGCAAGCCATCATTAGGCTGAAAAAACAAAACAAACCCATCAGAGAGATAGCAAAAACAGTAGGCGTGGCCAAAACAACTGTTTGGAACATTCTTAAAAAAAGGAACGCATCGGTGAGCTCAGCAACACCAAAAGACCCGGAAGACCACGAAAAACAGCTGTGGTGGATGACCGAAGAATTCTTTCCCTGGTGAAGAAAACACCTTCACAACAGTTGGCCAGATCAAGAACACTCTCCAGGAGGTAGGTGTGTATGTGTCAAAGTCAACAATCAAGAGAAGACTTCACCAGAGTGAATACAGAGGGTTTCACCACAAGATGTAAACCATTGGTGAGCCTCAAAAACAGGAAGGCCAGATTAGAGTTTGCCAAACGACATCTAAAAAAGCCTTCACAGTTTTGGAACAACATCCTATGGACAGATGAGACCAAGATCAACTTGTACCAGAGTGATGGGAAGAGAAGAGTATGGAGAAGGAAAGGAACTGCTCATGATCCTAAGCATACCACCTCATCAATGAAGCATGGTGGTGGTAGTGTCATGGCGTGGGCATGTATGGCTGCCAATGGAACTGGTTCTCTTGTATTTATTGATGATGTGACTGCTGACAAAAGCAGTAGGATGAATTCTGAAGTGTTTCGGGCAATATTATCTGCTCATATTCAGCCAAATGCTTCAGAACTCATTGGACGCCGCTTCACAGTGCAGATGGACAATGACCCAAAGCATACTGCAAAAGCGACCTGAATCCGATTGAGCATGCATTTCACTTGCTGAAGACAAAACTGAAGGGAAAATGCCCCAAGAACAAGCAGGAACTGAAGACAGTTGCAGTAGAGGCCTGGCAGAGCATCACCAAGGATGAAACCCAGCGTCTGGTGATGTCTATGCGTTCCAGACTTCAGGCTGTAATTGACTGCAAAGGATTTGCAACCAAGTATTAAAAAGTGAAAGTTTGATTTATGATTATTATTGTGTCCCATTACTTTTGGTCCCTTAGCAAGTGGGAGGCACATATGCAAACTGTTGTAGTTCCTACACCGTTCACCTGATTTGGATGTAAATACCCTCAAATTAAAGCTGACAGTCTGCAGTTAAAGCACATCTTGTTCGTTTCATTTCAAATCCATTGTGGGGGTGTATAGAGCCAAAAATGTTAGCATTGTGGTGATGTCCCAATATTTATGGACCTGACTATATATGCTAGTGAGTTATCCATCAGCTAATCATACCTATTGTTGGCTTCTGAGTCAAGATGCTTATTTATAGGTTTCCAGGTTTGCCCAGCTATCATGGACATTAAAAGCCAGAAGCAGATTCATTTTTGCAATTGTAATTTTATATTTGCTGTACATTATTATAGTTGGAGCACTTCTATGCAAAGAAAATCAAGACTCTGTGCTGCTGTTCAGATATTTTAGCAGGGAGATTGTGCTGTAGGAATCATTGAGAGTTATAAAAAGCCATGGAGTAATTCAGCCTACTAACGCAGGGTTTGAAGGGTCATGATTTAAATCGCTACTGAAAAGGCTTGATTTAAATCATGATTTTTAAAGAGCAACTGTCATCTCTGTCCCACAGCGGCTCCTCCTCTGACCCGCTGTTGACTCACCGACAGTCCCATTCACTTTAATGGGACGGCTGGTGATGCAGCAGCTACACATCAAGGTGTGAGGGACATGGCGGCAGCAGCAGGTGAGTGGATGTCCGTTAACAGGTGCTGCCATGATGGATCTAAAATGACTCCGACTCATTCTTGCTGGTAGTTAGAATTTTCAACATTTGCAAACCAAATGAAGGTTTCTTTTTATAGAATAATAAGTTGTCAGGTTAGTAAAACAGTGATATTGGAACCGATTTTAGGTTAATAACACGTAGTTGGAGAAATACTCATATTCTTTTATCGTATGTTTTTTCTCATGGTTACTGTGAAATTGTGTGAATGCCTCAATGCAGTGCATGTTATCTTAGCTTGCAGAGCTTGGATTCATTGAATGAGTTTACCAAAAATGTAAATATTGTAGAATATACAGCCTCATGCTATATAACTAAGCTCCATTTTATGCTGAATAAACTAAGTTATTAATGTATATTAAATAGAAATTTATCTTTAGATAGATTTTTACTCCAAAAGTATTAAAAAAATTAATAATAAAAAAAATCTGATTTAAATAAAAAAAAAAATCAGATTTTTAAAATATTCTTTTTCTTTTAAAAAATTAATCAATTTTTATCCACCCCGCATTTACCCAATTATTGCTTCCTTTCTTGTTCATCGAGGGACACAGGAAGTCTTAAAGCGATATTAAAGGCAATTTATTTATTTTTGTTTTAAAATAACAAACATGTTATACTTACCTTTTTCCTGCAGTGGATTTGCACAGAGCAGCCCCGATCCTCTTCTTCTCGGGTTCCCCACTGGTGCTCCTGGCCCCTCCCTCATGCTGAGTGCCCTCAGAGCAAGCAGCTTGCTATGCGGCCACCCAAGCAGGCTCTCTCCCAAGCCACGGCTTAACCGTGCCCGTTCTCTCCTCACTGGCTGTGATTGACAGCAGCGGGAGCTGCAATGAGGAGGGAGAATCCCTGGACAGCTGAGTACATATTGATGGATCGTGATGGGTCTCAGGTAACTATTAGAGGGGCTGAGGGGGCTGCTGCACACATAAGGTTTTTTACCTCCATGCATAGAATGCTTGAAGGTAAAAAAAAACCTTGAGCCTTTACAACCACTTTACATCTTCTACTTGAACTTCCATCTGCAGGAGGATTGGACACTGGCAAACAAAAAATGTAGGCCAGCTCAGGAAAACCCTTCCTACTACAAGTATGGCTCGGTTTTTGTTTGTGTCAAAGAAGGACACTAACAAAAACTACATACATTGCTACTGGACCTTTTTGATTGCAGTTATAGGGCATCGTCATCGGTTTCCCTTCCTGCCATTTTTTTTGTCGTGGAAGAGGTTTCTGCTGTGGGACTGACTACTGATGTTATCAGCTTAGTCGAGTGTCACTTTGTGCTCTTTTACTCAACACATCATTGATCAAGCATCTCCTTGCTGCTGTTCCTGCTTGCAAGGGCCATGTGGAACTGCCCACAGTGGCTTTGGTCACCTCTACCCATCCGACCCTTCCCTGTTTCTACCAGCTCCCTGGTTTTCATGAGGACTTGAGACCTTGCATCTTGTGTGCTTGCAAAATGTCCAATTCTGGACACTGGGGGGTGAATTACTGCTCTAGGGAGTGCCTCCAGCTTACTTTCACTAATGGTTCTGGTGATGCTTGCAGCATGCCTGTACTAAACTTTCATGTTTCTCTTCTGCTCAAAGTATGGCAATATTCAGCTGTAATACATGTGCAGCATATCTTAAATATAGACCCATAAACTGTGTATCAACACAAACTAGAAAAGCTACAATTTCTGGGGAAATTGTGTGAAGTGTTTTGCC